CCTGCCGGTGATATACAGAACCTCTTGTTTTAATTTATTGTCATGTATATCCTTTGTTTACGCCTGCGCATTGCTGCTGGGGGGGATGGGACGACAAATCTGGCCTGAATTGTTTAACGTCGCGAAAGGATATTCATTTTGTTGGCTGTGGCAGTGGCATCTCCCACGAGATGCATTGCTCGCATTGACATGTAATCGCATTTGTCTGCGAAGAAAGGAACGAAACATATTTCTCCGTCTAGAAGGGAGATGTAACTTTCTGCAGTGTGTGTGGAGGTGTTCTGTCGAACTTCGTGCAAAGAAGAGTTCTGCTAGACATGAGGATCGTTCAGGAAATGTTCAATGAACGTGAACTGGAAACAAGTTAGAAGCGATTCTAAAGTAGAAAGAAATTATGGAAGGAAACTGTTGGGTTATACACGTTTTGGGCTATCGTAATATATGATGATGAAGAAATTAAACACACAGTTACAGAACCATGTAGAGAACCCATGTTCTCAGAATGCCCAGCTCAAGAACTTCATTCCAAATTCTCCGATAGCAGCCAAAATGAGGAAAATTTATGGAGAGACTTAGCAGACACTAGCATGAGACCGTGAAACTCCACTAGGATTAAGACATTAGAAGACCGCGTCTGCTCATGGTGATAACAGTTACATTTTATCTTTCACAAATCTCTAAAAATGAAACACCCGTTGATGTCAGATAACCCGAATGGCGAAGTGCTGTAATCCACATGACCTTTCTGTCAACATGAAAAATTTCGTTCATGTACCGCGAGAAACAAGTTCCTGTGCTATTCCATGGCTCGTTATTCAACACACTGGGAACCATCCTACTGTATCTGGTGAGATCCTTCCCCACTGAATGTAACAAACATTTTCTACTCCTATGTTCCATGTTGCAAATTCTTGTACCTGAAGTGACGATAGGTAATGGTACCTTATTTAAGAGTTGTATATTTGAGACGCTAATTATAGCCGTCTTAATAACATTATTTTTTGTTGGGCAAGGCCGTGGTCTAGGCAACCCGGAGTTTTCCTCCGGGGGCTTCCCCGGTTTCTCTGTGGCATCCCAACAATTACTCCATTCACACCCAGAAGAAGGCAATGGCAAACCACTTCTGGATCATCTGCCAAGAACGTATATGAACAGGTCCCAGTCCGAGAAAAGGATGGAAGGATCCTGTTCATATGGACCTGTCGTCAGACAGAACACTATAAATAAAAAAAATACCGCGTCACGTCCCCGGAAAGAAGATCTCCTGGGGGTAGCCCCCTGCCAACAGTAAGGTGAGAAACCTCGTCGAACCTTGCGCCTTGTTCGGTGTGGTTGTTTCCGTGGGCTACGACGAAACACCGCGCGAAATAACTCCGTATTTTCACCATTTAATAGTTCCCCTGTTTTGCTGTTACCATAGACGGAGCCTATTTCAAGCAAACTACGCGTTTGTGAAGAGTAAATCGATTCGCGCGTTAACACTCGTGTGCCATAATTAGCCCGAAACTAACGCTGATCAAAGTGGATCACAAAGACAAGTGGTACAGTTTCTACGTGTAGCATCAAAACGTGGTGTCTACTGGACCAAATTTCTGTTAACGCACTGCGTTGAGCTGGCATGTTAGCTCGGAAATAATAAATGTCTGAACTGCAAAGTTTCAGCGAAAATGCTACATGAACGTCCAAGTAAAACAAGTTTTTCTTTGTAGTACATCACAAAAGTTACTGAAACAAGTTGATATAATTGCGTCATATTGTGAATTAAAATTTAATTATTCGTGTTTTTTTTTCGTCTAATCACAATTGTATATAAATAAAATTATACATAAGATATTAAAATATCATTTACATATTTGGTACATCTTTTTACTACATGTTTCGGTTACATTGAACCATCTTCAGGTGTAAAGTTAAAAGTTAAAAATTATAATCTTAATCTTAGTTTATTTATTATTTTATTTAGTGTTCTGTCTGACGACAGGTCCATATGAACAGGATCCTTCCATCCTTTTCTCGGACTGGGACCTGTTCATATACGTTCTTGGCAGATGATCCAGAAGTGGTTTGCCATTGCCTTCTTCTGTGTGTGAATGGAGTAATTGTTGGGATGCCACGGAGGAAGACTCCGTGTTGCCTAGACCACGGCCTTGCCCAACACAAGATTATAATTTTTAACTTTTAACTTTACACCTGAAGATGGTTCAATGTAACCGAAACATGTAGTAAAAAGATGTACCAAATATGTAAATAATATTTTAATATCTTATGTATAATTTTATTTATATACAATTGTGATTAGACGGGAAAAGACACGAATAATTACTGAAACAAGACTTTGGATCGTTATGACGTTTTTGTATATTTGTGGTAGTCGTTACGTCAAATTTCTCTGTGGGAAGATTACGCTAATATTTAAAGTATTTCATGCCATATCTTCCAAACAAACGTCAAAGGCGATGTGATTTTACACATTCCCTTCTATTACTTACGTTACACCACATAGATATCTGCTTCTGTTTTAAATACCTTGTGGGTTTATCTACAAGCAAAGGGCTAACACAAAAGATTAATACAACTAACAATAATTACGTGAAATCTACTGTGTTTGGAGAATTAAGAATGCGTGTATATTCTTATGTTATCACGCGAGATTTAGAAGAAAATTGGAGAAAATTTATCTGTGAAAAATCTACACATTAATCGTAAACGTCATCTGGGTAACACTCCAGAATATTTCTACACTAAATTTCCGCCCGTTGCAAATGAACATTGATCTGCGGTTCTGAACTCTGGGAGACACGAGTCGTGTACACGGATTCTGTCGCGCCTTAAACAAGTGACGCACTACTCGAATTTAGTGCGTGAAGCAATAAGTCAAAACTTTAAACGTAACTTTTCACATTTAAAACATTTTGTACATTATATGCTAACTCTATAGTTCTGGCGAGGCTGAAGTCAGCTACTAGGTTTTGTGTACGTGTCTCGTGACAAATGTCTTCAAAACTTGGTCTGTGTAAAACGGTAGTTTCGGGCATGGAGTTTTGAGACTCCGACGAATAATTCTGAGGCAGGCTATTTACCATGAAGACGTGACTGAACACCGGGCAAAAGGCCGTCTTGGGAGAAGAGACGATTCTAAGTAAGTCTGATTAACTCCACGAAGCAGGTGTCTTCTTGAGAAGCTAATAATCACGCAGATAGTCAAATTTCTGTTGTTTTAATCCAAAGAGTTATTACCGAATTTGCAACAGTCACTGAATCCAGTTCTCGTTATGTCACAATATTTATGTGAGGTCTAAGCTTATTTCTATCACGTAATTCTTTTTCGCCTACATTTTTAATGCGTTTCTGATCTTCATTGATGTGTGCCTCGCTCGTGCATAAATGACTTAGAGGAACGTAGAGAGAAAGGTAGGTTCAGAATAAGGTAGTACAATTTCCAGACCATAGGTTGTAAGATATCGGATGGGATCTTTGACCTTTGGGGATGAGAAACTTCGACGCGAGCCTCACCAGAAAGCTAAAAGTTACACATCGAACTCCAGTCGAGAAAATCTAAGGACAAGGGTATGTCAGATATTTAAAAATTATTTAAATGTTGTTAAGTATTAGCCACTATTTATCTAAACATTTTTCGAGTAACTTGAAATTAATTTATCTCAGCTTCAAGATGGAAAGGTTTCTCCTTCTTAAAAGTTTCTTTTTATTTCTAACTTTATTTAGCTAAGTAGGTACGCTGTTGAATCTGCGATTAACATGTCTTCCTGTATTCATTTCAGTTGGTGTATAAGATATCACATGGTTCCGGTAGAGGGTTTTCATAATTCTTCGGTTCCCTGTGACAAAATTTCCTTTTTGTACTCACCGCTGATCCAACGGAAGCTAAGAACGGAAACTCACGTACGTAAAGCCGCTGAAATATGGACCCCTCGTCTTTTCTTTGTTAGCATCAGGCACTCCAGACATCTAATAAGTCTTTCCTTCGTCTTATTTCGTATAAAACGTTTTCATAAATCACTTTTGGTAATTTATCATTGAAAACAGTCAAATCATATATTCAGCAGAATAATTTGATGAAAATTGAGTTTATAACAATCTGTTCATTCCATGAATTATATAAAAATTAAAAGTAGGATTTTGTGTAGACACGTGGAAGACAGATCTGAAAATTAATTGAATAAATGTACTCGGCTCATTTCTGACAGAAATCTCGTGTTTCCAACCCGTCGTATTGTCTGTGACATAATCACAATTATGTAGACCCCAATGTTTATTAGTGGCATCTGATTCTTAAGTTCAGCTTTGGTTAATCCGTTGAGAGTGCAATAAATTCGCTTACTCCTTTAGAAATTTCAACATGCCCGAACTGAGAATGTTCTGTCGCCTGGGTGTTATTAAATCCGCTTCTCGTCCACAATCCCCTGCAGTTCAAAAGATACAACACGTACTACATCAAAGAACGCACTGCATAACGTTTACGTCTAGCTGGATGATTCCCCTCTTTACTCAAAGTCATTGTAAATAATCATCAAATTCGTGTCAGTCATTTGTACAATCGTGTGTTAAAATGTTCTCCAGACAGCAGCAGAACTGGTCCTCTTTTCAGGATACTCCAGAGTAGATATATCAATACTTAACGGCTCGACGCCTTTGATTAGTTAAAAGTTTCCCGTATGGCTTAAGACGTTATGTCGCATTACGGAATCGTCACAGGACATCATGACATAAGGTTGTCTGTTTTTGTCAGATCTTTGAACATATGTGCACAGCCCTGAAGATGGAGGCAGTATATTTCTCCGAAACGTTCTCCAAACAGCGAAGCCGAGAAGATATCTCGAGCTTCGTGAGACCGAGACATGAAGTGAGGCAGCGAGAAGGAAGACGCAGGCGCCGGTAAACAATATTTACCTGCTAAGCCGCTGATCCGTATGCCTTTTTATTTTTAGACGGACGTGACACGCACAGATTCGTCCCGACTATTGTACAAAAGTGGTACTTACCGTCGTGGGAGTCGTAAAGATAAATGATTTTCCTCCATCCGTAATATCGTACGACGTCAATGATTGCTTGATGATAGTCTGGTCTCATGCTGATGGCATAGTCAAGGAACCCAGACGATGGTGTTAAAACCTGAAAGAACGTGAAATTCCTCTGTCATGTCAGCGACGTAATCGTCTGTAGCAGGGGTTCTCACCCCTTTTTCGCTAATTATAATTTAACACATTAAATGTCCCACTAACCAAATACGTCAAGGGAAAACTTATTTATTTTAATATTATCCTTTGATTGTCTTACTTAGTTCGCGTACTACCAGTGGTACGCGTGCCATAGGCTTTATAAACGCTGGTCTGTAGGATACGTATATTGGTTTCGAGTACTGTCCGCGTCATTTATCTTGGGTTCACAAAGTTCGGGGGGGGGGGGGGGAGAAGAAGCGTGGAATAACACACTCTGCGCATGCCCCAACTCATTACTACCTCGCCAAATAACATTTCTTTGATGTCTGCGGAGTGTGTAATAGTGGAGAGAGATCCTTCTTACTAAATGTTATTTGACTGGCGAATACGTGCCGTTCCGTTGCATAAACCGAGCCGTAACGAGCTGAGAGAAAATAATTACCGTGGAATGTAGACGCCAAGCGAACTGACGCCGACTGTGGTTCGAGAAAATTTGGATGGAGTAGCTTATAATTGCGTCTTACCACAGTGCACCATTCATAAGAAATTTGTGACAAGTCAGTCACGGTCAGCGTGTGGAAACTTTCACTACCAAATGAAGTCTTACGTTACTTAGTGCTGATTCATTATTTAATGTTGTTTTGGTTCTAATTTGTAAATTAATCAATGCTGTATCGCACAGGAAATCATGATTATCCGACTTAGACTGGGCCAAAATACGACCGAGTAATCGAAAATGTCGGATTGAATGGAAAAACCAATAAACAAAGATGTTGGGCTGACGTGAAGCTGAATTGTTTTTTTTTTACCCTTGATTCTTATATTGAATATATTATAAAAAGAAGGCTAAGAAGATTTGGAGGGAAAACATAACGTAGATTTCACAAAGCAGTGTTTGAATGTATTGTGTAAAGGTGCGGGGGAAATACGTCTCGACACTTTGGCACTTCAAATGAACAAGACGACATTCCAAAGGGAAAATAAAAAGAGAGAGAGAAGGAAATAGCATAGGAACTCATTCATTGAGTTTAATCACTGAAGATATCAAATATCATATCTTGAGCCTAGGTAGAAAATATATTAATGAAATTCCAGAGAATAAACGCCACACACACAAAAAAGGGAAACGTTAAAATATAAAACTCTTTTACAGACGCTGAAAATTGTGTGAGAGTACGTTAGGACCTTGTCTTTGATATGGACCAGTAGTCGGGGAGGGGGGGGGGAAACGTAGAGGTATTACGTTCGCTGAAATTAATTTTGTAATGAGTGAAGATATTACAAAGATGTCGCCTATTAATAATATCGGACTGTAGGTGGTATTTGAGACAAAACTTTTTTGGGAGAATTTTGAAAATGTGTAAGTAAATCGTATTCCATAACAGAATTTTTGAATTTTTGGTCGACCAGGAAACATCAGTTTTTCATGAAATGACTGTAAAAATACGGGCTGACCATATTAATTCTTAAAAATCGATCGTGTTGAAAGGTAAACCAGTCGCTAATGACCGCGGCAAGTGATGTGGTGTAACACCGTTAATAAAATAAATTTAGGAAATGTGTGCATTGCGTAATGATTGTTAGGGTTTGACAGAATTGTTTCGATTTTGGCGTGTAACTTAAGTAACCATAGTAAAAAAGGTGGTTTGGATATTTCCCAACCAGTCACTTCGGCGCTCAGAAACGCGTGTACTCGTCATGATCCCTATTTTTTATTTGTCCGATTTAACAAAATTGAAATGTAATGAAAAAATTTAATGAAAATACGTAATACCACGCATCGCAAAGAGTTCTAAAATTGTTTCTTTCATGTTGACTCTTGGAGCGCTTTTGATAGGCGCTTCTGAGGTATGAGAATCAGTCTGAAAAATGCGAATGTAACATTTACATATCCATTTCTTTGTTAAAATACTAATTCTACCGCGAAGCCAGGCATAAATGGAATGATAGTATTAAAATGGATCGTAAATGTCAGGTTTTGTAGTGGATTCTTGTGGATGTGTATACGATCCACTGTCAGGCTCTTGTGAACACGGTAATGAACTTCTGACTTTCTCGTTGTCATGACAGCAAGTAACGCTGTGATATTCTCCTAGCGAATATCTCGAAAGGTAACGAAAGACAACGCTGCTTTGAACTTCAGTAATCACTTTCATTTTCTTCGGAAGTGTCTGCTGTTTCTACCCAGCGGGGAAAAAGTCAGATAAGAAACACTGTCGCTTCCTACGGGTTTTTCAGGGTATTTTTAAAGTGGCTGTGAAAAAAAAACTGTCTGAAAATGACAGATGTTAGTATATATCATTGGTCTAACTGTAGATAATACCTTTTTATGTTACGGTAATCCTGGTCATACGACTAATTCTACGTGTCACACACGTGTGCTGTATTATTTTTGGAAACAACATATAACTGTTGCAGATTATACGAGGTGCGATCGGAAAGTTTCAAGACTGTGTCAATAGAGGGCGAACCGGATGTAGTACGAGTTTCTGCCGCTAGGGAGTGCGGCCTACATTCATAGTGAATCAGTGTGCCAGCCGGCATCATCGAATTAGCATTTGTTTCTTAGTTACGGGCGTTTTGGTAGTGCATTACACCGACCCTCCTGCGATTTCGGAATGGCGTGTGCATCAAATTTTGCCAAAGACTCGCCAAAACGGCTACGGAAACCTATGAAATCCTAAAGCAAGCATTTGGGGAGTCCGCAAACTTTGGTGTGGCATTCACGTTTTAAAAATGACCGAACCTCTGTCGATGATG